ACTATTCAGCTATGTTCACTTGTCAGGCATTGCTTTATGTAATAAATATCATCAACAAGTCAGCATTCACATTCTGGTGTCATTTTCCTATGCAAATACATTTTAAAGACATGTAGAATATTTATCTTTTGACTATTTCTAGTAATGTACTCTTTCAGAAAACTAAAAAAAACATTATATAATAATAATATACATTATAAAAAACATTATGAATTCATAACATCAAGTGACCAGATGCCAAACTCAGATCTTACAGTCTACTTAAAAGTGATATTAGTCGAGCTAAAATTCTATACCTGTTAAATATTAGACAAGCTATTAAATTATTGTCTCAATTGAGACTTAGTTGTCACAAACTCCAAATAGAAGTAGGCAGACATAAAAGACCTAAAATCTCATTAGGGAACAGGATTTGTGATAAGTGTAGGAGTGACAATATTGAAAACAAAGTTCATTTCATTACAGACTGTAGCTATTACACTGATGAGAGGGATACTATGTACGTTGAATTTACCAAAGAAATCCCCACTTTCCAGTCTGAAAACAATATGAATAAGTTCACTATCCTTAATAATACTAACAATCCTAAACTAATTGGACGTGTGACACGGTTTTGAAACACAACACACAAACTGCATTAATTATGTTATTATAACGTTCTGTTTTTACTTGTTACTTTTACTTTTGTTACTTTCAACAAAAAATTATATTGTTAATTTCTTTACAGTGTAATAAAACTTTATTATTATCAATATTATAAAGAAACTGTCGTATGATTCACTACTCTAGACCCCTATCTTTATTTTATTTTTAAATTGAACTCCCTGATTATAATAACTCATTCATTTTTGTTATCGATATATCATTTCTCATGCCAATATATCTAAGCACAGTCCCTCTGTGATCTAGGCAAGGACGTATTTATTATCAAACATGCAACGGTTCAATTATATTCTTCTGGGATGTTGGGGGGGGGGGGGGCATTGTCCGAATTGTCCACAAAAAATAAGCGGCGACCCGGGGATAATTCAGAACTACAGAAGATTACAAACAAATCACGTCTCGATACCGAACTGAACCTGGTCTTGAAGAGTGTTAACAAGATGGCTGATCTAAATGAGGGTGGGGCTGAGGTTCATTAGCGTCATTGCGATAAATAATCAAAACACTTTACCATTGCATTCGAAATGTTTAAAACGCACACAACAGTCAACATAAACCACCGTCTGGTATATACTCTATACGGAGTGTTCCCATCGCTGCTGGCAGACAAACTGACTGTTGAAGAGCGTAAAATTGGGTCGATAAGCCGATCAGTTCCCAGAAGCGACGAATATTCACTGGTCGCCGACATTTTGTTACGGTCACAATCACCTGACCAGCCACCTGACCCGAATTCAAAAATGAGCCCTCTAAGCTGGTGTTTAAATTGCACTCTAGAACCCTGAGGTTGAGCACAATATGCAAGTTCCACACCAGCAATTAAATATTTCTACTATAATATTCCAGCTTACTGCCTCGAGTTCGTGGGGAGGGGATACTCGAAAACGGAACCGTGCTAGCGATACTAGCGGACGATGGTATTCATTTGCGAGATCATTGTTATTTTATTTATTTCAATGTTTTACTAAAGCTCAAAAACAAAGTTTGGTCTGAAACTGTATCTAGGAATAAAAACCCTCCTCATAGAGCATCCATGACAAAACTGAGGATTAGTGCGCATGTGCTTCAGTATAAGTATGGTGACGCCGAAACATTGACATTAAGAATAGAACATGTCCTATAATAATAATAATAATAATAATAATAATAATAATAATAATAATAATAATAATAATAATAATAATAATAATAATAATAATAATAATAATAATAATAATAATGAATTTATTGCATCCTTAGAAATAATTTCCATTGGTTGAACAGCAATAAAATGTTAGTAATAAAGTACAATACATATAAAACTAAAGTAAAAGTAAAATGTCAGTTATTGTTATTTCTGATTTCAAATATATTCACCAACTTGTCTTATTAGTACGTCTTCTCTTGAACTCATAATATATTTAAATATCTGGTTATCACTTTTCAATTCTTCTGGAATACTGATATTATTAAATAGCTTTTGTCTTTCTGTTTGGTACCTAAGACATTCCATGAAGAAATGTTCATCATTTTCAATTTTGATCTGGGAACATTGCTTTCAGATTCTGTCTTCTAAAGGTATTTTGGGTTGGGTATGTCTACCCTTCTCAATTTCTAATACATGACTGCTTATTCTGAAG